TGACAAATCATAAAAAGAAAAAAAATGAAGTTCAGCTAACTCATTTATACCTCACACTGTTCTTTGAAATGATTTTAAAGATATTGGCTAATTAAACGGAGGGCAAAGAAATCAGAAATCTTGAAGCAGGCAGATCAGTGGAAATTAAATAACTGATTCCAAAATAGGATATTTAATATATCTGTAAAAGAGCAAGAGTTAACTTAATTTACGTTAGGGTGATATCTACATGCAAACTGAAAAAAAGACTTGTGTTAATGGCAAATATATTAAATAAGCTGGTTTGCTGGGAGAGCAGACGAAAAGAGGACAGGTTGCCTGGGAAGCCCACCAAAAAGGAAAAGGGACTGTTAGACAAAAACCAAGTAAAATGAAGCATTATGTATCTTCAAATTTGAAACCAATAAAGGACTAAGAATGCTTATAGTGTATCAGCAGAGTATAAGACAATGTTCTTTATTTTTAAATTTTAGAATCAAAGAGATGAAGAAGAGTTTAATACTTTCTTAATATCTAGCTATAGTCCAACTCTCATAATACCCAAGACAGAAAATGGAACAAAGTGAATATTGAGAACAGAGTTACTTTTATAATTTTTTTCCTAAGCTGTGGAAACTTCCCTCCTCCCTTAATCCCCATGATAACTCCCTACAGTCAGCGTCGTTGCACTAACCTCATATTCCAGTAGGCCCAGTATGCTGAAAAACACCAACATGTGTTCTTTAGTGTCCACCTGTTATATAACTGCATCTATACTAATAAGATGATTGGGAAAATGCATAACTACATGGGCAATTTAGTGATGATAGAGTGGCCAGTTCCTGAGAACATACAATCCAAAGTCAAAGGGACTTTTATTATTTATTTATTTATTTATTTTAGCTGAGCCATCCTGCCACCTGTTGACAGCTCAGCGGCAGCTCCAGCCAGGACTCAAACCAGGATTCGAACCGCTGTTGCTCTGAGCTCACACTCTTGAGCGAGCTCTTAACCAACTGAGCCACTCGGCCGGCCCCCAAAGTCAAAGGGATTTTTAAATTATAGATGTTGCAAATGAACAGAAAATATTCAGTATGAACTGTGAGGGAAAACATGGTGATTGATAATACCAAGCTATATACAATATTAGATGAGGAAAGAACTGACTTTACATTCATTCAACAAATACAGCATGGCAGTGGCCATGGTCAAGTCTATGGTCTCAGAGTGCCTGTGTTTATAGTCTAGCCTCTTTACTTTCTCACAGTCAACCTTCGGCAAGTCAATTAGTTAAGTCTCTCTGTTGCTCAGTCTTTTCATCTATAAAATGGGGATAATGATTGCATTCACTAAGTTATTTGAAGAAGTCAACAAGGCAATGTTTAATGTTTTTAAAGTAGGTAATGTTTAGGGCCGGCAGAGTGGCTCAGTTGGTTAAGAGCTCACTTAAGAGTGTGAGCTCTTAGCAACAGCGGTTTGATTCCCGGCCTGAGCTGAGCTACCACTGAGCTGCCAACAGGTGGCAGGATGGCTCAGCTAAAAAATAAAAAATAATAAAAAAAATAAAGTAGGTAATGTTTTCACATAGGTGCGGGGCACATAGTAATTTCTATACTAAGAGGTTGTTAAATAAAGTTGCATTTGATAATTAATGAAAAAAGTGAACATGTAGGCCAAGAAGTCACCACTAGTCAGATACAAACTATTCATGACACTAAGAAGGCTCACAGCATAAAACAGTGGCACAGTAAGCCTCACATAACATTCCCTGAACTTCCCAGACTTTTAAGTGGATGCTGTTTTCAGCTGTGGAGTTCCTTTAGAAGTTCAGAGCCATCAAGATGTGTCGGGTTGGAAAATAAGATAATATTACTGATGCTCAAAGAAAGACTGGGATGTTTCACACTGACCTTTGATCAGAATAACAGTCCTTACAAAGAATTTGATGATCCACTGCTCAATATCTTCCCAGAAGACAGAGCAAGGGAAAGTAAGCAAGTACACAGTGAGGGCTTCTGGCAAGCTATCTGGAAACATTTTGATACCACAAAAATTAATAAGTGTTAGAATGGATTGCTGAGAGGGGCTCAAGAGTCTGCCCCTTTGAGCATCTCTCAAACAAGGACAGATAGCCTATCTGATCAGCCTGGGATGCTTTAAAATCAAGGGTGAGTGAAGATTAATGGTACAAACTGCCCCTTGAAGGCCTCCCCCTTCCCAAGCACTCCCTGAGAGTGTAACTTTATATATTACCCATCACAGCCCCTCATCTGTTGAGTATGGAGAACTCCCTTTTATCCTAGAATAGAAAAGGGCAACACTATTTCACAATTGTGAGTTCTGAGTAAAACTTTAATAATGTCGTAATGAAACATAATGTCCTTATTACTTCTCAGTTATTTTACCAGGCAAGCTACCTGCAAATATCTTTCAATTAGAAACAGATCTCATGAATCTAAATTCTGAACAGCAGTTCCTTTAAATCCATGTTCACTGGCAGACAAATGGCATATGCCTTTCTCAAGCAAACCATTAGAAGTCTGAACAAGGCAAAGGATGAAAAGGAGTATGAAGAAAGGAAAACCATCATATACTAGATAATTAAATGTAAATTGTATCAGGACCTAGGGAGGGGAGGAAGAGTATTCATTTAATAAAGGGACATATTTCCTAAGTGATCATTGCAACAGTAATTAAGTACCACTGAGTCAAGTTTAGTTTGAAAACAATGTGTGTCTTTAATGTACAATTATCTTGCAATTCATTATTTTCTTATCATATGTTCTTCTGACCCCACAGTGACCTGTATCTTGATCATTTCCACAAGCATCAAAGGACACCAGGGTTAAGGCAAAGTTAATAGTACTCTTAATCCTAGAAAGTGAGTTTAACAAAAGGACACACATTTTAGAAATGCATAGCTATTTAGCAAGCACTGTAATTGTGAAGGGGTGGAGGGAACAGGCAAAAAAACAAAACAGAAAAAAAAACTGTAGCTAAAAATCTATTGAAGAATTTATTTTAACCTCTGCAAACGTTCTCAGTAAAGTGAATGCAGACTACAGAAATGATTTACACTGAAAAACATCACCTTGATATTAAGGAGACTTGCATCCTGCTAAGCATGAACTGTAGTCTCTGTAAAGTCCCATTATCCACTGAAGAATACTGAAGGAATTTAAAAATACTTAATTTTCTTTTTTGAGATATCTTATCTGAAATTATATGGGGAAATATCGGTGCGTTTAAAGGGTGCAGTTTGAAAAACCCCAGATTAGAGGAGAAAAAGTTCCCAAAAGAAGCGTTCCATACTACAAACCTTTTAAAAGTTTAGTTCTTTGAGATTCGGGAGGGTAAAAAAGCAATGCTGATCCTTATCAATTAATTAAAAAGAATGAAGTAACAGTAGACAAAAGGGGGAGGAGAGTTAAGAAACTTAAGTAGCTGTAGGGGCACCCGGTCTCTATTCACTGATTAACAAAATAAGTAGTTCTGGAAAAGGGAGCAGTGACAGGGATAGAAAAGTAGTCTTGTAATTCATCACAGGTTCTGCCTTCGAAGCACCGGAGGCTGGCTATGTCTGGCTCAGACTTGAAAAAGGCTCTGTGTATATAATGCTCTCTGTTAGCGTGATGTATTGGGTTATTTTTTTCAACGCCTACATTTCTATAAATGTGTTAATTTCAGTATAAGTAAAAACCCTCACTTGTAGAGTTTGTTGATCAACCGTAATCAAACAGCAATTCCACTACGTAGCGAAACTGTTATATCTGCAAAATGCTTTTCATCCATCCACCAGTTCTTTAGTAAAACACAAGACTGGTGGAAATTCAGCGTTTTGACTTGACCATCTGAGGTCACTGAGGACTTCAGCTGCTGGGTTTAAGCAGCCCGCGCCCTCCTAGCATCTCCTGGCCTCTCAGTGCCTCTCTCAGTTCAGTTCTCTGGAAGCTACAAGATTATCTCTCCCCGACACGTTTCATTCACAGAGCCCCAGAGAAGCTCGGATTCGGTTGGAGCTAAGAGCCGGAAAACACGCACCCAGGTTGCTGCGCAAGTTGTTGGAGACCAAGTGTTATCCACACACTGGCTCTGAGAAAGCGGGTGGGTTCTCTCGGGCTCTCGGCAGAGGAATGCTATAGTGGCCGGGCACGCAGGCAACACAGGGCTGGTGGACTCTGAGACGAATCCACTACTGAGCCACCCGCTTAAGTTGGCTCAGCTTTCAGGAGCCGGCGGAAGAGGCCGCGCTCAGTACCCGGCGCTGTGCCGGGTGGTTGGGGTGTCCCCCCAAACACAAGTGACCAACAGCAATCCGGGAAGCGATGAAGAACTATATCAGGAAAGCCCGCCCCAAATCTAAAACAAGCAGTATGTGAACTCCCCAAACCAGCCCGGAACTGCGGATATCGGGAGACCGAGTTCCCTGGGGGGGGGGGGTGTTTCCCCAAGCCTTGCGGGCCCCCAGCTGGGGCGCTCGGCCTCCTGAACGACAGAGAGAGTAGAGCGAGGAGCGAGGGACGAGGGGAGCCCTCCGCGTCTCTCCACCGCCCCGCCGGCGCGAGGGCGGGAGTGGAGAAGGCGCCACTCAGACTGTGGCGCTAGGCAAACTGCGGCCGCAGTTCTTCCAAGTTTGCCGGAGCGAGAAGCGCAGAATGGGCGCCCCGCTCGGCGATCTGCCCTCGCGCTGCTGCCACCCCCGATTGTCCCAGGCTCCCTGGCCCTCCTGGCGGGAGCCAACAAGCAAGGGGGCGCAAGGGCGCCAGAGCAGAGGGAGGGAGGGAGGGAAGGCGGGCGCTCCCGCGTGTGCACACAATGAGGCAGCTGAGACGCACACCTTCCCCGCGGGAGCAGCCGCTGGAGCATTCGCCGCCGGGCGCGGAAGCGCTATGTCGGGGAGAGCCCTGACACAAAGTGAACACCAACTCAGCAACAGGGGGCAGGAGGAGGGCGCCGGGCGGCCCGGGGGGACGTACGGCCGCCGAGGGCTGCAGCTACCCGGGCCGCGCGCCCGCGCTTACCTGCGATCTCCTGATAGGGGATGTCCACCAGGCTGAATCCCTTGGCACTGTACGCCTGGCGGACCTCGCCGCAGCTCCGAGCTTTCACATCCGCCCCGGCTGGGAGTGACAGCAGCAGCCCGGAGAGGGGAAGAATCACAGCCCCGATCCAAGAAGGCATGGTGCAACATGCAAATCCAGCTCGGTAAACCCCACGGCCCGTGCGCTCTTCACCTTGCCCCTCCAGCCGAAAGCCCGCCAGAGCCAGCGGCGCGCTCCTCGCCGCTGCCCAGCGTCACCCCCTTCCGCCAGCCGAGGGGACGAGCAGTGCAGCCCTCTGGACTGCGCTCAGCAAACTTTTATAAGCCAGATGGAGGATGGCAAGCCAACTAGGGCTGGCTGGGAAAGCAGCCGCCTTGCTCTTCTAGCCCCCCAGATCGAAAACGGTGCAATAAAAACGAGACAGAGAAGGAAAATAAATGTTTCAAAAACCACCATGGGGTTTCAGCGCTGCGATCCGAGTTCCGAGCCGCAGAATCCTAGAGCGCTGCGAGCTCGGCTCGCCGAAGTGTGCAGCGAAGGTGGGAACGCGCGCGGGCTCTCCCGAGAAGGAGGTGGACAGGCTAGCGCCAGTGTGTGTGCGCGCGTGTGTGTCGGTGTGAGCGCGGGGTTCTTGGGGATGTGTATGCGTGGAGGTATGTACTGGGGATATACGGGTTTCAGGGGGAAACCTCAGCTTCACACAGGCTGAGGGAGCCTGTGAGAGTCCTCCAGAAATAGGAAGAGAGAAATCCTGGAGGCTAGAGGGAAGGAGAAAGGAGTGGAGAGAGAGAAACGTGCTACACACACAGCACAGCCGAAATTCAGAGGCAGAGTCGAAGGCAAAACCTGGACTGGATCTGTTTCTACTTGGTAGAAGGAAAAAAAAAAAAGGCGGGGGGCGGGGGGAACGTTCCTATTTTCCCATCTAGTCACATCCTTCATATTGATACAAAATGCTACCTTTAATGACATACGTAATCAATTTAGAAACACAGTATTTTTAAGTCATTAACTCATGTTATTAAACTATGTTTTTGTGGACGTAAAGAACAGTGCAATTTCAATCGTTGCCCTTAATATATTCATGATCCACCTAAACACAAAGCCAGAGTAGAGATAAACATATAGGGGAACCCCTCACAGAGCACAGTCACCACTCTAATTATCTAATTTCTGTTTGGCTCTGTTTGTTTTTATTTTCTAAGGACAGGTAGTCTGGGCACACATTATACACCAGTAGTTTTGTTTGTTTACTTGTTTGTTTTTAATTTTTGGTTCTGGACTTAAAATTCCCCCCTATTTTAATTTCAAATATTCCATAGTCTTGGATCAGAAATCATTAAATATAGGTTTTTAGGGTGGGGAGGAAAAAGAAGGCTAAGAAAACGAATCAGAACACAGATGCAAAGGGAAAATGATAGCAGGAGTCTATGGGGTACATGATGGAAGATATTGGGGGAAAAAGTGGTATCTCCCTTCCCTTTTCCCAAATGATCTCACCTACTAGACTTAACATTTTCTTCCAAATAAGCAGAATTCTCAAGTGGAGAATCAGTTCACTGTCTTCTTCCTGTCTTACACAGCAAGTTCTGTGAAATGGGATAAAAATGAAAACTCAGGATTGGCTAATTTCCATTGACTTTCTTATGTTAATTGACACACCGACCTCTGCAAGGCAGAAGTCTGTGTTGAAACTCAAAGCCCCTGGAACTACTAAGGTAGTTAAATCCAAGGCAAAAAACATAATGCTTATGATGTAGGATATTTCTTGTGCCGAGATAGTGGTCTCGTAAAGCCAAAGAATGGAGACACAGACCAGAGAGGTAAAGTTTGTAGCAGAGGGTAGTTTCATTAAAGCAAGAGAAAGGTTACAGCTCCCGAGCAGGAGGGGATACCTGGAACTGGGATGCCCACTAGCTAGGGTAAAAGGCTTGAGTTTTATACTTTTCTTTCTGCCTGGGAGGGGGAATGCTGGAATGCTGGTGCCTGTCATTAAGGTGTTTATCAGATTTGTTCTGTTGCTCAGCCTTGGAAAGGCCTTTCGTAATGTCCTTCAAAATGGCTTTGTTGCTCTGGGGCATGATTGATGTCTCTGTTCCAGTATGAGGGAGTTATCTTATAATTTTGAAAGAAATGGCTAGTGTAAGGAATGGCCAGGTTTTTTTGTTATCCTTGTTCAGTCTACCAGGGAATTTCTGACTGCCTGATATTATACTAACTAACCTGTCTTACTTACTTGTGTTGCCATAGCATATTATTCAGAAATTACTATAGGGCAATGTCCAATTTTATGCAGCTCACCTATAAAGCTACACATGAAGATGTATTTGTGATGATGTCTGTTGATGACCAGAATGACTCGTGGAACTAAAGTCATTGCATTTTTGTCACCATCACAGTCATAATCATCTTCATCATCATAACACATTAGGCGCTTCCCTTCCTCTCTTTAATAAATCCCTCTTCTCTTAATGTGCCAAAAAGACTCACATTTAAGATTCAACCTCACTTAAGTTACGGAAATGCTTTAAAAATGTTGTCTTATTTACAGAGGGACTTTTTCTTCACGTGTTCATAGCTAAACATGTCTTTCAGAAAACAACAAATTTTTTCCTCTTAAAGTTTTAGCACAATTTTTGCCTTCATTATAATGGTGCTACTGGTAGACCTTAAGTGTTTGAACTTATTTTCCTCAAAGTTTGAAATCAAGATAATAAAATATCCTCTAGTGTCTTTGTAGACAAAGGATAAGATTAGTAGAATTAGGAATTGCTGTAGCCAAGTCATTATTTCTGTGATATTTGACATGACCTCCTTTGAATTCCTGTTTCTGTCATAGCCAGATGATGTGCATTATGCAACCCAGAGGAAAGGGGTAAATACACACATAACTTATCCTATCATTTCACACTGGGACTCATAATGTGCCCTGATCCTAGTAGTACATAGCAGATAATACAATAAAAGGTGAGGTGATGGAAGAACAGGTGAAGACATAGTGTATGTGGCTTAAATTATTTAAAACTCAATCAATCATTAAGTATTTAATAAGCATTCAGTGCAACTACATACACAGCACTAGGTTATTGCACACAGTTCCTACATTTATAAAGTGACCTTAGCATTTGTGGCAAGACAAGGATATGGAAAGAATTATAATTTAATCAATCATAAATAGATTAGTTAATCCCATCATGAGGGTGGAACCATTTCGGGTAGGATTGTGAACTGTAAGTAACTTGCTTCACTGGTACTCTGAACCCCTTTTTGGTCCACTGGTTGAGCAATGTAACAATATCTGAAATATAAAAGACACATTCCAGTTAAGGGCAGCAGCACAGCCTAGATGATGTATTAGAATGAGCACTGAATGTCATGGAAGTTCATAGAAGATGCCTGACGAGAAAGAAGAGAGCTCATTTTAAGGAGAAGTTGGCATTTGGTTTAAATAGAAAGAAGGGTTATTAAAGAACTTGAATCACAGCAATAGTGTTTATATTGTATGCGATAGGATAAAAATTAGAACACTGGAGAACATCAAACCAGAGGAGACAAGCAAATAGAAGCAAGAAAGAGGTAAGTAGGAGAAGAAACACATAGAACTCTGCCATAATGGTAAAGGTTTCAGGTGATTGAGACCAGAACAGGAAGATAGTAAATGGAAAGAAGGTGAAGGTAAATTTTGCAGAAAGGATTAGCATGGCTTGGTCCTTAGTTCAATATATACATACCCCAAAAAAATTATTAAAATTTTATTTTAAAATATTAAGTCTCATTGGGGAAATAAGATATATATACTAAGACAATAAAGACTTTTATACAGTTCTTTCACATTCCAGCTTTCCCAACAACATTCACAACAACCCCTTTGGGCATAAGATAAATGGGACCTCCGAGACTTAGAGAGAAAACGACCGAGTCTTAAGGAGCAGCAATAATCGACAGGTAGCCAGCTCTTCCTGTCTGTTGCCTGCTCCGTGGCCATCAGCTCTTCTTCCTTGCTAACACTAAGACTGATAACCTGGTTGTGTCAGGGGGCCATTGTGCCAACACCAAGGGATGAATTGCAAGTTGTCCAAGCCAGTCATGGCAGTCCTTTTCCTTTTTCTATTCAATAGTGTAGGGGTGGGCACAAGTGCCATTTCTGGCCAATAAGATGTAAAGAGAAGATTTCTAAGAAACATTTTTCCTTATTAAAGGTGAGAGCTCTAGGAGCAGAAAGGTCTTTTGGCCTCAGCCTCCTGCCTTATGGGTAGATGATGTCTTGTGATGAGGAGATAAGAGATTGCAAACAGGCAGAGAATGACAGAACAAAAGGATGGAAAGAACCTAGATTCTTGATTTCCCATTTGAGTCACCAAACCATCTCTGGGACCACCAGCCTCTAGACTTCTTGTTAAATAATCCATAAATAATCCTAGTTTATGCCACTGTCAGTTGATTATTCTACTGCTTACAAATGAAAGCAATACAAATGTATATAGCAAACTAAAGGAAGAACAAGTGAAAGTGAAGGCAAGAGACAGGGATTAGTTGCAAATGTAAGAAGAGAATAAAAATTAGGGAGCATGATGGAACCCAAGTTAGGAGAAGATTTTCAAACACAAAGCATATCCCAGTGATCAGCAAGAACAAGAAAGATGGAGAAAATTGTACTTGGTTGAAGATAAAGAGGCTTACTAGAAATTTCAAGAGGAACATTTTGGTAAAGTAATAGAGTGGATGCAGACCATATGCAATCGTATAGACAGAAAATATGTGATGGTATTACAATGATTTAAAGTGTTATTTTAATATTCCATAGTTATTAATAATCCAGAAATCTACTCTTCACTGATTCTGAGTTTCATGCCTAGAAATACACATAAGGTTATTAAACACAAATATCAACTAACAAAATATTTACATACTTCTAAAAATTGGTGTTAAGACCACTCCTCTGCTTAAAACAATCTTGGCAAATGGCATAGTGACTAAGCATCATTTGATACAATTATTAGAGGATGTTATGAAGAGGGTGGAAAGGATAAGCAAACATCAGGTATAGCTGATTACAGTGTGGTACTTCTACGTGAAAGGGATGAAGTGGTCATCAGGGAATGCTTTCCAGAAGCTTCTAAAACTACAGGGAAGAATGAGAGACTAGGGCCGGCCGAGTGGCGCAATGGTTGAGAACTGGCTTGGGACGCCAGAGGTCCCCGGTTTGGATCCCACATATGAGGGCCAGTGACACTGCCCTCTATAGCTAAGGTGCTGAACGGCAGCTCGGCAGCTCGACCTGGAGCTGGGCTGCCCTGGGTCGCCTGAGACAGCGTAGGCTGCAGCCCCTGCTGCAGTGGGTTACCATGGGCTACCGTATGAAGCCAACAGCCAGCGGAGCGGCCAGCAGCTGCAGTGAGCAGCCGTCCAGAAGCCGGAGACTGATCTGTCTCGCCCAGGAAGAGCGCAATGATGGTGCCAACTTGGGCCAGTGAATCAACGTCCTCCACAGCTAGACTGAAGAACAAAAGGACAGCAACTTATCTGTTCCCCTTCCCCCAATTCCCCAGCACTGTTCCCCTGCCCCCAATTCCCCAATAAAAAAATCTTAAAAAAAAATGAGAGACTAGACATAGAAAGAGGTTGAAATGCAATGTGATCTTCTCTTGTAGGTTGATTGTAAATATTTCTCTTTATCGAATATTGTAATTTTTCTACAGTTAATGTGAGCTATTTTTTTATAATCAGAAAGTTATTCTTTTTTTAAATGAGTGTGTCACACTTCAAACAAATGCAATTGTTAACATTGCCGTCATGTTTTATAAAGAGGCCTTACCCTTAACTCACATAT